TTTTTATGTCAGTTCCTGCCCTCCTTCTTTCCTAGTAGTAACTCTTTCCTTCTGTACCTAAAGCTTCACATACCAAGTTGGCAAATTCTTTTCCTTTCCTTTCTTTTCCATTTTTAAATTTAAAAAAAAAGAAAAACTCTAGTCATATGCAAATATGGTCATTTCCTGTGCACTGAAGATTTAAAGTAAAAGTAAAACAATAAAGGATTTTAGAGTATAACACAAAAGAATCATTTCATGACCTTGAGATGAGAAACATTTTTAAAGGGTACAAAGGCAATATTAAGGAAAAGATTCATAAATTGGATTAAACTAAAATTTAAAATGTTTAAAAACCAAAAGATAGCATAAGGGAATTGAGAGTCAAAATAAGGGAGAATCTGTCTTTAACACATCTCTGACAAAAAAAGAATCAATCAGAAAAGACAGTAAGGAAAAGTCATATTTTTTATAATACGAGGATTTTTTTTTTTTTTTTTTTTTTTTTTTTGGTACCAGGGATTGAACTTACTACCTTGTGCTAGCAAGGCAGGCACTTATGCCACCAAACTAGATCCTCAGCCCAAATGAAGATATTTGAATGCCTGATAAGTACATGAAAAGGAGCTCAACTTCAGCTGCTACCAAAGAGATACAAGTGAAAACCACTATACTTCCACCAGGGTGTTCTGTTTGCTTTTCAAGTGATAAAAGCTGCTTCCCAATATGGCGCTATTAGGAGACTGGGGGTCAACGAGGTGGGGCCTAGTGGGATGTTGCCATAGTTGGATTTGGGATGTTCCCCAATGACCTGTACATTGAAGGCATGGTCACCAGCTTGTGGCACTACCGGGAAGTCGGGAGACCATCAGGAGTAGAAGCCTAGTAAGTAGAAGTTAGGTCACCAGGTGTGTGCTTTTTAAGGGGACTCTGGGGTACCAGTCCCTTCCTGATCCCAAAACAGAGAAGACAAGTGTTCACGGACTGAATCCTCCGAAAATGTGAGCCAGAATAAACCTTTCCTCCTTTTATGTTGGTTTTCTCAGGTATTTTTTCACACCAGCAAAAAACTCACACAGAGGTCTATGATTCACTGGTAGTGTGACCTCAAAGGGAACTGTAGACCCCATCTTTTTTCTCTCTTACTTCTCAGCCATGAAACAAGCACATATTTTTTTTTTATCAGTACCGGGAATCAAACTCACAACCACATGCTTGCAAGGCAGGCACCTATGCGGCTGAGCTAAATCCTTAGCCCTGAAATGGGCATTTTCTTCTTGCCATGTTCTACAACCATAATGAGTCCCCAACCCAAAGCAATGGGGTCAACTGCTTATGGAATGGATCTTCCAAAACTGAGCCTGAATAAATTCCCAAAACTAAGCCCAGATAAACTTGTTTTCTTTATAACTTGATACTGTAAGTATTTGTTATGGTGATAAGAAACTAATTCACAGAGTAAAATGAAAAAGTCATTTTCACTTTCCATAGTGTTGTCAAGATTGTGGAACAAATAAAACTCTCACACTCCAGATAAGAATATAAATTATTAAAATCACTTTGGTGAAATTATTTGTAGTATCTGCTAAAGTTGAATCCACATTTCTCTATCACCCAACCATCACAGCTTCAGATATGCACAATATAAACATGTTTGTGCATACCGCAAGTGTATCCCAAGAGACCTGTGCTGTCTGCAGTAGGCTAGAGCAAGAAAAAGTCCAATGTCCATTGTAATGAGTGGTGACTTAATCAGGCTCACTTAAGCAGCAATGAAAGTGCAAATCCATAACTGCAAGAATATGACAAGTCACAGCAGCAGCGTAATTTAGATGGTTTCCACCTTTCCAAAGTTCAAGAACAAGTGGAGCTAATCCATGCTTTTTTCAGAAGTCATATTAGCAGCCTCTGGCAGGAACAGAGTAAAGAAAGCCAGTGGGTGTGCATTTGTGCCAATTTATCATGCTCTACACATAGGCTGTGCACAGTTGGTGCATTCCTAGTTCATTAAGAATTTTTTAATTAAGTTAAAAACAAACTTGGAAACCAAGACTGTGTCTCCCCTGTTGGAAGTGATAAGCAAGAAATAAAAAAGAAGCCATGACAATTGATCCTGGTTACCTTAGAGACGCTGGGCTGCTGCTTCTCACCAGTGAAGGACTATCCTGTCTTCTCTTGTGCCCTTGTCTCCGTGGGAAGCCAATAACTCAGCACAGATTAAAAACAAACAAACAAAAGCCACTAAAACTGGTAAAAATGCAAACTTCCTGAGGTGATGAACAGGAGCCATTTTTTAAAAAAAAACTCAGTTAAACTCAGCACCTTGTGCTTGCCAGGCAGGTGCTTTTGCTGCTGAGCTATAACCCCAGCAATCCTGAGGTGATGGCAAAGGTGATTTATGAAAACATTACATCCAATGACTTAAATAACGTCTTTACTTCCCACCACTGCATGATAACTTTGGGTATGGCTGTCAGCATCCTTCAAAAACTCATCAGATTCTTGTGTTTTTATTGGTCAATATGATCCAACCTAATTTAAAGTTATATGGGTTTGACCAGATGTGGTGGCACACGTCTGTGATCCCAGCACACTCGAAAGCTGAGATTAGGATTGCCATGAGTTCAAGGCCAGTCTGGGCTATAAAGTCTGAGTTCAAGGTCAGCCTAAACTGCATAGTGAGATCCTGTCTCAAAAAGACAAAAGAAAAAGAAGTTACATGGGTTTAAGTTTGCCCTGATAAGAACTATTTTTAAAATATAGAAACAAAGGCCTCGGACCAGGAATTTAGCTCAGTGGCATGAATGCTTGCCTGGCAAGTGCAAGGTTGTGAGTTCCATCCCCTGTTCTGCAACAAAACAAAACAAAACAAAGGCCTTGACATCTTGCTATTTTCTAGAACTTTTGTTATGGGCATAACCATACTCTGCTCCAGCTCTTGGAACCAAAAGAACTCTTCCAGCCAGGTTGTATGTGTATATGTGTGTGTGTACTTGGGTTCACATGATCATCTCCGACCCCCATGTAATCGCTGTGCTTCTAGTTATACATTCATGCAAAAGTACCTATAATAATAGGATTTAGTTATATAATTAGATGAACTAGGGCTAGGGATATAGCTCAGAGGCACAGGTGCCTGCCTGGCAAGTGTAAGATCCTGAGTTTGATTCTTGGTAACCCCCCCAAAAAAACCCCAAAACACAATTACATGAATTTAATCATGAGATCTTTTTTTTTTTTTTTTGAAAAGTAGCAATAAGTATATGTAAAGTCACTAGGACTATACCTGGTGCAAGTATTGATTAACAACCCCTAGCTTCTTACTTTTCACTGATTAGGAGTTCACTGTGCTGAGGATAGAAGTGTAGCTCAGCGGTAAAGTGCACACTCACCAGGCCTGGGTTCCATCTCTAGCACTAAACCATAAATAAATAAATAGAAAGTTTACCATCTGGCTAAGATTTAATGAAGAAAAAACCCACAGATACTTGAATACACCAGCAAAGTCTAATATTAAAATCCCATCCTGCAAGGCAAGGTGGCACATGCCTGTAATCCCAGCAATCAGGAAGCTGAGGCAGGGGCATTGCCATGAATTCATGGCCACCCTGGGTTACAAGAGGATCACCATGAATTTGAGGCCAGCCCGGACTACATAAGAGAGTTCAAGTCCAACCTGCACTGCATAATAGTGAGACCCTGTCTCAAAAAGCAAAAAACAAAGAAAAAAAAAAAAAAACAGACCAAACAAAACATAATGCATGCGTGGAGAACTGGAGGAAACCAGGAAGTGACCCCAAGTGGAGGAAGCAGCTGCCACCCTAACACCACCGGTAAAAGCCACACCTGTTGCTGTCCCCAGTCCTGGGGTCCTGCTGGAAGTACAGTAGAGGATAGGAACTGGGTCCTGTGGTCTTGCTGTTAGTAGCTCCAGTCTGTGGGATTATTAGTTCCTATTTCTGCAAGGGCTAATGTGGCCTGGAGACACACTGACTGCCTCTCCAGTCCCACCATCCAGTCGCATGAAGACAGGCCACTGCCCTGCCTGTGCCCACAGGAATGCCCAGGCTCTTCCCTTCCTCTCTGAGCCACCCTTTTACCCCACACCCTCAGACTGGCCCTGGATCATGAGTTCCCAACCTTGCCCTTCAGTTAGAAAGTCAGAAGAGGAAAACGATCCTCTGGTGAAGCAAGTAGCTCGTCTAGTGGCTCAGGGCTTTGGGGTAGGCCAGAAAGAAAGCGGATTACAAATGAGGAACCAGCCAGGGATATAGCTCAGCAGCATAATGCCTGCCTGGAAAATGCGAGGTGCGGAGTTCAAGTCCTGGTACCAAAAAAAAAGAGAAACCAAAGGGCCAAGACAGGAGTGGGTGAACAGAACACAGCTGCTGAGATGGGTGTTTCATCAATCCTAAGACAAAACTGTGTTCACAATATAGTGCCTCTATGATTTCGTGATTTAATGCCTTCATGATTTAGAGTCTCCACAATAGGGATGTCTCCAGCATCTGCTTTCACCCACAGAATACTTCTGACACCTATAGGCAGGGTTTGGGGGTGGTCCTATATCTTGTGGTTCAGCCCTGAGACTGCCTGCCCAGGTTGATGGAAACTTCATAAGCTAAATGATCAGTCCTGCTAGACGGCCCTACTTTAGATGCCAACTGCAATTGTAGACCACCTATAGCCTTGGCCAACTGGCTTCAAGCTGGGGGTTCCTTCTAGAACAGCCTATGGAACTCAGGAAAGCACTTTACTTTCAACTACTAGTTTATTATAGAAACTACTGTAAAGCACTTTTAAAAACCCAGGTGAAGAAGCATGTGGGAGAGGTCTAGAAGGTGCCAGGTTAAGAGATTTCTATCCCCATGGAGGTGAGGTCACCACACTCCTGGTACATGATATATTCATTGAGCTACAAGCTCTCTGAAGCCTACAGTTTAGGGTGTTTTGTTTTATTTTGTTTCACAGTACTAGGAATTGAACCCAGAGCCTTTGTACAGAATTACATTCCCCAGCAATTTTTAAAATATTTTATTTGAAATAAGGTTTTGCTAAGTCATTAAGTTGCCCAAGATGGGTTCTAATTTGCAACCCTCCTGCCTCAGCCTTTGAGTAATTGAGATTTCAGGTGTATACCACCATGCGCGGTTGTTTTTGTGGAGGTTCCCTTGCATAGGCCTGACTGATTGTATCTATGGTTGTTGGAGATCAATCCTCTCATTGAGTGCTTGGTTCCTCTAGCAAATGGCCATCACGGTGAACTTCCCAGGGGCCACTGTGAGTCACCTCATTAACTCAGTCTCAGGTCCAGTTGACAGAGGCTTATCGTGAACATCCAAAGACTGTCACACAGGAAATTCCAAGGGTTTGGGAGTTTGTGCCAGGAACTGAGGGCAAAGAACAAATATTTATTTTTCATTATCTGACAATAGCTCAGTTACATTTTAATTGATATGATTTTTAAATGACGCAAAAAAAGTCACAGTGATTATAGTAAAACTGATCGTGTAGCTTTATTAAAAAGGTAGCACTGATAAAACACAGTGGCAAGTGAAAACGTGGGCACTTTCTCTGGATCTAGTCAAACTCAGCAGGAATGGCAAGGGCCCAGCTCAAGCCAGGCTTGGGCTCAGAAACCTGAGAAGCCAGGGACGCTCCCCTGGGCTCAGTGTCACAGGTAGGCAAGTGTCCCACTGGCCTACATGTAGGAGCCCTACAGGGGGCTCAGCACTTCCCTGCCCTGATGTCTCCTGGCCTCAGTCCCTTCAGAATCCCCAGCATGTGAGTCCCTCAGGCCTTCTTCCCTTGATACCTAGACTCTGCTCTCTGTCATGTTCAAATAAGTGGCATTTTTGCACATGTGCCTCTCTTGATTTGTTGCCTCTTATTTCCTAATTCAGGCCTCTGCCTGTGCTGTGACAGTGTCTCAGTCCTAGTGTGGGGCCAGCTTGCCCGTCCAGGCCTGAAGGGAACAGTGTGCTTGGGGTCTGCAGCTGCCTCCTCAGAACCAGCCTCATGGTTCCCCTGGGGGGGGGGGCAGCCCCAGACCTCCCTTGGGAGCTGCACAAGACCCTCCTAAGAACCATCTCCTGGCACCGGGAGGGCAAACTGAGGTCGTGATGGTGAATGAGTTTCCAGAAAGTTCCTGAAGCCTGGCAATACAGAAACCCCTCTGCCAGCCAGTAGGTCCCAGCCATGCTCCCCCGGTAAGGGCCAGGGAGCAAGAAGCTCTCCCTTGGGCCCTCCATCCCAGCCCTGGGGAGCATAGCTGCTCCCATGCCCACCACTCCTGTTTCTCTACTGTTGTCTTTGTTCCTACCAGTAGAGCCCTTGTTAACCGATCCCACTATACTCAATTATTCTTTAATCCAATGTTCCCTAAAGCTTGTATCTAGCCTGCATGAGGCCCTGGCTTTGAACTCTGGACTTACATAAATAAAAATAAAACAAACTTTCCCTACTCAAAATTCTGGTGGACTGGATTTGTACTGAGACAGTACAAATTAGTTTGCATGCCTAATGGGAAAGAACAGAGACCAAAAGAAGAAGAAAAACATGGAGAAGAGAAAGAAAAGGAAATTGAAAAAAATGAGGGGGGCAACAAAGTAGTAAGAAACTGACAGAAGGAGCAAAGGACGTGAGAAGGGGAATGTGGAGGTTCCGAGTCGCCTGGCCTGGGCCAGGGGAAGGCAGGAGACTGGGGATACAGGACCCCGGGCACCCGCGGTCTGTGTGGAGAGGCAGCCCCTCCACTCGATCTGGTCTGGAAAGGAGACTGGCTCCCATCCACGGGGCAGCAGCAGCCCAAGGGCAGGGGGGCAAAAAGGCTAAGGAAGGGTGGAATCATTCTCTGCTGCAACCGGACAGCATCCTTGCTGCCCTCAGACAGAGACGCAGGTTCTGAGGCTGTAGATCCGGTTCAGACCTCTGACCCCACACCACCCAACCTAGTTCAGAGGCCTTGAAATTTGGACAGAATTATACCACTGGGGTTCCTGATTCTGTAGATTTCGAATGACAGATACTAGAACTTCTCTCGGCCTCCATAGCCACGTATGCCAATGCACATAATTAAAAAAATTATGTATTTGTTTATCTGCATTAGTACATGTTTGCAGTTCATTCCTTGTGGATACACCATGCATCTTTTAATTCTTTCTTCAATCCCTTTCTCACCTCTTCATTTCCTTCCCACTTAAGAAAGATCTATCTCCCTGTTTTCTATTATCTATTTTTATTTGGCCCTTTATTTATATTTTGGGCTTCTCAAAAATATGAAAGAGAAAGAGAAGCCATGCACGCCAAGTAAAGCATGCTGGCCCGTACCTGTAATCCAGCATTTGGGAGGCTGAGGCAGGAGGATTTCCATGAGCTCGAGGCCAGCCTGAGACTGTGTCTCACAAACACTAAACAAACAAATCAAAAAGAAGAAAGAAAATAAAAGAAGAAAGAAAGAAAACAATATTTAATCTTGTGCATCTGATTTATTTCACTCAATATTATGGTCTCAAAGTACATCCATTTTCCTACAAGTGACTTTATCCTTCTTTATGATATATTAGTACTCTATTGTATGTAATACTACATTTTGTTTATGCATTCACTTGTGATGGACATACAGGCTGTTCCAAAGCCGTAGCTATTATTATCATTATCAGTTTCTTTCCTGCCTCTCTCTCCCTGCCCTCTGCACATACATTTCCAACAGCTTCTGTTTCTCTGGAAACCTTAACACGGCAAGGACAAGGCACAGCTCCATATTCTCTCAGCCTTGGACACAGCAGTTCCACCTTCTTATCCTTACCCGAGACAGCTGTGTCATTTAAGCTAAGGAAGGGAGGTGCTCTTTGGGCAGCTGCCAGGCATGCGCAACCAGAGAGGGACAGTGACCACCACCATCATGATGAGCCCTAGGAGCAGGGCAAGGCCAGTGCTCGGACCAGGTGCACAGATGCAGGCCCGCAGAGGGACACAGCCCATGTGGAGCCATTCCCGCCTCTCCACACTCTGATCTGTCTCCTCCCCTGTGGGGATGGTGACAACAGCACCTAGATTAAAGGAGTTTACACATGTGGGGTGCTCTGGCCATGCCTTGCACATGGCAAGCACCTTATGTGACTTACAAAAAGCAAACAGGGAGCCTGACTATCTGGGCCTTGTAAAAGCTACTTGCCATTCTGAACCCAGCCTCCTTATGTGTAGAATAAATTTTTTAAAACCCAAACACATAATAAAGCCTATCTTGAGAGGTTTTCTTGAAATAAAGATGTCACAGGACAGGTGCTCCACGCCAGCTCGCTGATGGATCTCAGCAGTGAGCATGCTCAGACCCTCCTGCACCTGGGTGAACGTTTGGCGTGTGGTAATGCTGCCCTCTGCTGGACGTCGGTTCACATCGCACAACTGACAACTCCCACTGTCCTCCCACCTCCCACAAGGCTTGTGTCTTCAACAAATTTTTTTTTCCCTTCCTTCCTTCCTTCCTTCCTTCCTTCCTTCCTTCCTTCCTTCCTTCCTTCCTTCCTTCCTTCCCTTCCCTTCCCTTCCCTTCCCTTCCCTTCCCTTCCCTTCCCTTCCCTCCCCTCCCCTCCCCTCCCCTCCCCTCCCCTCCCCTCCCCTTCCCTCCCCTCCCCTCCCCTCCCCTTCCCTTCCCTCCCCTCCCCTCCCTTCCCCCTTCCCTTCCCTTCCCTTCCCTTCCCTTCCCTTCCCTTCTTTCTATCCTTCCTTTTTTTTTTTTTTTTTTTTTTGTGCCCCAGTACATTTGGCTGCTGCAACCCAGCATGATTAAACAGCTATCAACAGAAGTATTTTTCCACGCGATGAACAAATGAAACTAGTTTTGGTTGTCTTGCCTGAAACATTCTTGCTCTTCAGTGTGGAGACGTCTTTAACTGTTGATGTGACCTCCTGACCAATTCTGGGCTTGTTTCTTTGTGATTCAGTCATGGCAGGATTTTCTTCTGAGTTGTGTCCTCTGTCTCAGATCTTTCAGTATGGGGTGTGCAGCTGTGCATAGGCGTCCTTACAGTCTTCCTCATTTCTGTAGCAGTAGTAGAATGCCTTAACTGTCACTTCCAGTTCTAAAATTGAGTCTATTCCTTTTTGTCTTAGTCATTCTAACTAAGATTTAGCACTGGTGTTTCTTTTTGGCTACTTTTGAAGAAGCAACTTTTATCCTCTGAGTTTCTCTATTGTTTCCTGTTTTGCATTTTATTTGTTGTTGTCTTTATTATTTCCTTTATTCTGCTATTGAGCCTGTGGTTCAGTTTATTCTTTTGCTAATTCCTTAAATTGTAAAGTGAGGGTGTTGGCTTTAAATCTGTACTGATTTTCAATGTAAGCATTTCAGGATATAAATTTATTGCTGTAGCTCAGCAGCAGTGTTGTACTGGCATACACAAGGCTCTGAGTTCAATTCCCAGCACTAAAAAAAATGATAATAAAATTTAAACTTAAATTTTGGCCCAACATATCCTAGGAATGTTTCCCATATTCCCAAGGACCATTGAGACTCCATGAGAAAGCCGGATGAGAAAGCCAGGTCTGTCTGCTGGATCCATAGTTTTGCTCTGAGGTTCAGGGATTCCATCTGCTCATCTTCTGTTTGGTTGTTCCACCCCCAAATAAGAGTAGGGTACTGAAGTCTGGCCGGCACTGCAGAATTGTCTTCTCCTCTTTTCAGTTGGGGCAATTTTTGCTTCCAACATTTTGATGTTCTATTAGGTGTGTAAATGTGTATCACTTTTTTTATAAATGTGTGTAATTTTTTATAAATGTATGTGTGTTACAGCTTTTGCTACTATATAGTGTTCTTTGTTCTCAGTAACCTTCTATTTTGTCTGGTATTTGGTTACCTTACTTTCACTTTCAACCTATTTGTATCGTTGAAAAGAAAGGGATTGGGCTGGGGATTTAGCTCAGCAGGCATAAATCCCTGCCTTGCAAGCACATGCTCTTGAGTTCAATCCCTGGTACAAAAGAAAGAAAGAAAGAAAGAAAGAAAGAAAGAAAGAAAGAAAGAAAGAAAGAAAGAAAGAAACTAAAGGGATTGTCTTGTTGACAGCCCATAGTTGCATCTTGTGTTCTTACTCTTCTGCTGGTCTCCATTTACCCTTGAAATAACTATTGATAAGGAAGGTGTTACTCCTGAATTCTGCTGTTTTTTAATGCCCAACCCCCCACCAACTTCCTGCACTGCAATCTCTTTTAGTGTTAATGAAAGATTTGAATTTCTCTCTGATTTCCTTCTGTGTATATTCTATATCTATTTTCTTTTGAGTTAGCATAGGGGTTGCATTTATGATATTAAAATTACAACACTAGAATTTGAATACCAGTTCAATTTATAGCAGTTTAATTTAAATATACAAAAACTGCTCCTTTGCTTCTGTCCACAACCCTTACTGATGTCACAAAATTTCATCTTTTTGTATTATGTGTCCATAAACACATCTATTTTTTATGCATTAGTCTTTTAAAGAATATAAGAACATACAAATACAAACTAATGTCTCAGTAATATTAGCCTTGTAATTGCCACGTTTACTTTGTTGAGATCTGTGGCCCTGAGTTTCTGTCTGACTCTCATGTCACCTGCTGGACTACCTGAGGCCTACCTACATGACAGGCCAGTGGCCCTCATCTGCTCAGCTGTTGTTGATCTGGAATTGTCTTCATTTCTCTTTCATTTTTGAAGGATAGTTTTTTTTAAATTTTATTTTGACAGTAGTAAAATACAACAGAACAAGACAGAATAAAGCCAATTAAGATCATACAGTGAAATTGGTACAGAACTTCACAGCAGGTTACTGGGATAACAGTTATAGGTATTGATAGGATTATTTCCAGAGGATGAAAAATACTTCCAAAAGATGAGGAGTATAAAACAAAAGAGGCCTTTATTCTGGGGAGAGAGGACTGGCAGGCTGGCCGCTGGAATCCGGCAATCTCTCTCCCGCGGACACGTGGCGTGGGGGAATATAAGTAGCCTAAGGTTAGGGCAATGCCCTAAGGCCATTAGAGATGCACAGGTATTTCATTGACACACCTTTGGCGCCAGGGGCAGGTTCTGAAGGGTGGGGGGTATAGAGTTACAGGTAAATCTCTAGGGGCGGGGGAGGCAGGAGCTCCCTAATTCCGGCTGAGGCTTTCTCTGGCTACAGTGTCTGGTCTGGACCAGCAACCCTTTCAGGTATCATAGTATATTTCGTTATCTTTACAATAGTTGTTCATTCAATCACGTATATCAAAATAAAATGAAATACAGAACATTATAGAACTTATCAAAACAGAATATTGAATAGAGCAGTACCACTAATCAGAATAGAGAAAAACAGTAATAAAAATATTTGCCTTCAAAGAGATGGTAGAAGGAAATCCCCCTTATTTGCTATGGTCAACCTCCCAAGAGATCCTTAGATTTCTGGTTCCATTCGCTAACAGCAGGACAAAAGAAGCGGGATAGGGGAAGTGGGATGTTTGACTCTAGGCCGTGCACCAGTAGGTTCACTGTTGCTTAGCAGGGAGGCAGGCTGGTTGCTTGGTTTCCCAGCTTCATAAGTTCCAACATGGCGCAGATCTCAGGAGACACTGGTGATTCTCCCCCTGGAAGGCTGAAGGATAGTTTTCATGGATATAAAATTCTCTGTTAACAGTTTTTTTCCTTTCCTTCAATACTTTGAATATATCATTGTTTTCTGACCTCTCAATTTTCTGATAAGAAGTCCACTTATATTGTTGGGAAAGTATGTTAAAAGCTACCTTCCTCCCAGTTTCATAAATGCTGATAATATACCTCAGTGTGCGTTCCACAACAGAATATTTTCTGCAGTACCAGGATGCTCATTAAGTTGTGGCATCAGTTTGAGACTAATCATTCAGATCTTAAAGAAAAAGGAATTGAACATTTTAATTTAATGAGAGCTTTAAAAGTCAAAAAGTATTATGGATTTTCAAATCAGAAATGACAAGGCCACTGAAACATCTTATCCTATAAGTTTTAATTTCTAAGAAGGTAAATGTCAATTTCTACCACTGGCTTAAACAGAAAGTCCTTCAGGACCCTTCATCCTTCTGTTTAGTATAAAAGGCTATTGAGCCCAACAACTCTGGATTCTCAGCAGGCACAGCAGGGCCACCATTGCGCAAAAAGTCATTGTTATGGATCCAGGTGCCTGCGTAAGGCCATGGCTGGGCCCAGAATTGGTCCTTTTAGTTTGGGAAGCTGATTTTCAGTGATGGGAAAGATTTCTTCTTCTTCTTTTTTTTTTTTTTTTTTTGTCTTTTTTGAGACCAGGTCTCAATATGCAGTTCAGGCTGGCTTTGAGCTCACTTTGTAGCCCAGACTGGTCTCGAACTCTCAATGATCCTCCCAACTCAGCCTCCTGAGTGCTGGTATTACAGGTGTG